TCTCTCTGTCTCTGTCTGTCTGGCAAGCGCACGTGCCCTTTAGCGAAAACCTCCAAAAAAAAAAAAAAAAACCTAATAATAAAACTCAATTGTGGTTTTTTTCCCCAACAGAAATCAGAAGTGTTTTTCTCCCATCATTTTCTCTCTCCAAAGTTTCCATCACAGAAAGGAAAAGGCAGCCCCAGCCACAAACCTTATCAAAATGACTTGTCCCCTTCAACCACAGGTGACAGCCTAAGCCTTGTGAGGCTCTCAGCAGGGCTAGCACTTCCACTTCCACCAGTACCATGACCCTAGGGTCCTCAGTCTGCTCCAAAATCCCATCCTGAGTGTCTGCCTTCTGGGACCACTTTGGTCTGGATTGTCCAAAAAGCAGAGCCTCAGAGGGAATCTTTGGGGCTGTTATCTCAGCAGAGAGAACAGTGGCAGGGAGTGGGTGTGAGGGGTAGGGAGGGGAGAAGCAATAGGAGAGAGGGGCCTACTGTGTCAGGTGGTGCCTGCTTGATTTGCCCAAAGCCCAGATCAAACTGGGAAAAGAGCTGGAGAGGCCAAAAGGGACTGAAATGGAGCCTGGGGTGTGTGTGTGTGTGTGTGTGAAATGGCAAGTAACAGGCCAAGCACTTGTTTGAGGAGGTGTATCTCAGGCTCAATGGAGGCGGCTTGCCTCTCTGTTCACGGATCTGGCTACCTGTGCTACAATGCTAGCACTGGACAGCTTCAACAGAGACTGCACGGCCGTAAGTGCACACTTTAACACCAGAGCCCTGCCCAAAAGATACTTGCCGCCCTGTTCTGAAGTCATACCCAGCCAGAACTGAGTCCCAACGTGCACGACAGGCTGTCTAAGTGCTGGGGAGACAGTGGTCAACAGAATGCATCCCTGCCTAGTGAAGTGACATTCTAGTCAGGGAGACAGCAGGAAAATGTATGAGATCAGGCCAGAGCCTCAACAAAACAGGTGGGAAAGGAGAAAGTGGTGGATATTGGATGGGGCGGGCGTGGGTAGTCTCTGAAGAGGATCCTCCTGGAAGAACTTTTTTTTTTTTTTTTGGAGAGATTTTTCACTGTAGGGCGCGTGCGCTCGCCAGACAGACAGAGAGAGACATAGAGACAGAAAGCGAGAAATCACCCCCCAGGGGGGATGGTCACGCCGCAATCCCTTCTCCTCCATTCTCCTCTTGGGATCTTGGGCACGCACGCACACGCGCCCAGCGTGAGTTTTAAGCCACCGGGTCCGGGACACGAACCGCGGTCAACTACGTGGGAGTCCAGCGACATAGCCATTACGCTAACTGCTGGTTCCCCCTCCTGGAAGAACTTTGAGTAGAGCAAGTAAGCAGTGTGGGCAAGGCACTTTGTAAAGTTGGAGGGACGATGCAAAGGCCCTGGGGCAGAAACCGCCTGGCCTGTCCAAGGAACAGCATGGAGGCCAGTGCTGTTAGAGGCCCGGGGCTCTCCAGGGCTCTGACACAGGGCTTCAGGCTTTGAGTAAGCCCCTATCTCTCTGTCTCTGGATGGTCCTCATCCCCTCGTGTGGCTCTTCTGTGGTCGGGGTGGAGGGGTAAGACACAAAGCTGGCACATCCCAGGAGCTTGATATATGCTACCCTGTGAGGAACAGCAACCCATAATTAGCCAAGGAGCTCTTGCTCCAGGACAGGGGCCAGGTGCAAAAGCAGAAAATTTAGACTTTGCAGTAATAGACAGGCTCCCCTGAGTCCCCCTCTCAACTGGGCCGCATCCTTGGACCCTGCCTTCAGTTGTACCAAGAACCCTGCTAAGTCATTTTAGAGACAATCTCCCACCCCTGCTATCGGATCACCCCAGCCCACCTTGAGCAAGAATCCTATAAAGTGAGTTTAGCAAGAATACCCAGCCCTTGATGTCTCCTCTTCATAATTTCCACCCACCGGCCCCTCCCCTGCTCCTTGGCTATAAATCTCCACTTGTCCTTGTATTCTGAGCTGAGCCCAGTCTTACTCCTCTATTGCCGTAGTCTTGAATAAAGTCTTCATTACCATTTTAACAAATGTCAGCATAACTTTTCTTTCATCAG